TTTTACAGCAAATTGGTCATTTTGAGATTATTGTCAAGTGTAAAAGTCAAAGTAGAATTATGGGGCTTTGACTAGGTCATTTTTAAAAGAACCCCTAATCTTTACACGGTTACACCTTATGTTTGTGCCCTAACATTAGAGCTGACAAAGAGCATGTTCGGCTAAGCCTAAAGAGTAAAAGTACTTATTTTGACAACAGTAACTTCTTCAAAAGTTCAAATTTTCTTAAAATGTAAACTAACTTTTTTTAGGCTTGGCCAAACATGCTCTTTAGAGGAAAAGTGGCTTAAACCAAATCCCTCAAGGCTCAAAATGGCACAAAGTTGCATCTCTTTCTAACATTCTTGGTAATATTCTTCAGAAAATTTCATACCAGAAGAACCCTTTAATCTGTCAAACGACATTGATATTCCAAGCTAAATCTCAAATCTAAATATAAACTCAACTCCATTGCCATTACAAAAACATAATGGAAATTGAATAGATCTGATACATTTTACAGTTAACACAGGGCTCATTCAAGTAGTTGTGAACACTGATAATCAAGTTATCATTGGTGACACAGTCAATCTGCGGCCCTGGAAACTACCCATTTATCAAAATTCCCTGCACCACCATTTTTTATCTTCGGCAACAACAGTATATTTAAGAAAATCCAAGAAACAACACACAGTACATTGTGAAGGGCATTAGAAGAAGAAAATTATAACTAGTATCTTTTGTTTGACACCCAGAGGATAAATGTCACCATAAGTGATTTTCCAAGTGTAACGTCTATAAGGGTCTTCGCCATTTACATTGCGTAAGCACAATAAAAAAAACTGATGAGAGTATACAAATTGCCGTACTCTCTCATTTTCTTCTTCTTCTTGAACCCCCCAAAAAACTCTTCTTTCTTTGTTTCTCAAAAAAGAGTTTTAGGTTATGAAAAAGACGGTGAAGAGGGAAAGAAATGGTGATCCATACCACGTATAATGAGAAGAGTGAGTGTACTGTCAACGTCTTCTTCCATTTGTGACGGTCACGTGCTGCAAGCTAGCAGCTCTTTTTCTTCTTTTTTATGTATTTTACCAGACAATCCAAATTCTGATTATGTACACAAATTAATGAATTACTTTACTTTCTTCGAAATTAGCTGGTTTGATTTTTCTGAAAATTTGACCCAAAAATAATTTTACAACGCTGGAAAGTTTGGACATTTATGATTCGCGTGAAAATTGTAATCACGGTACCAACCTTTCACTTTTTTTCAAACTTTGTCCAAATATTTGTTTTGTGCCATGTTAAAATATTTATGCAGTCGTAATTAATCAGACTTATGCTGATGAGAATGATGCTGATCGTCTACTGATTTCATCAGATTCTTGGGACCACTTTCTATCAGTTTTGGGACCACATTATCCTCTATTGTACCAAATTTTATTCTTTCAGTTTTTTACTCTCACGTGTCTAGTTATTAGCTTGCTCTCCAATCTAGTAGCTGTATATATATTGTACATCATTCATTGGAAATATATTGAGTTTTCATCATTCTCCTTTACTTA